GTGTGTGTGTGTGTGTGTGTGTGTGTGTGTGTGTGTGTGTGTGTGTGTGTGTGTGTGTGTGTGTGTGTGTGTGTGTGTGTGTGTGTGTGTGTGTGTGTGTGTGTGTGTTTGCAGTTTGTGTAGCGTGTGCGTGTGCAGTTTGTGTAGTGTGTGTATGTGCATTGTGTTTGCTCTGTGTGTATGTTTGCAGTTTGTGTAGCGTGTGCGTGTGCGGTTTGTGTAGTGTGTGAGCACGTCGCGTATGATTCTGCTCTCACATGTGCGGCACGAAACAATATTAGGATTGTTGCCATCACCCGAACACGCGTCTTCATCTACACCCTGGCCCAGATCCCGCGAAAGCTGCAGCAGTACAGCACAACAGACAACCCAGAAGGTGCATGCGCGCTTGTGTGTGTGCGTGTGTGTGTGTGTGTGTGTGTGTGTGTGTGTGTGTGTGTGTGTGTGTGCATCGTGTGGTCTGAGCCTCTCTCCTGCATGGGTTCTTGCGCTCATGGTGAAGGGATGTCTACGTGCGTGTGCGCGTGCGTGCGCGTGTGCGTGTGCGTGTGTGCGAAAGGGTGATTTGGCTCGCTGTATCTGCCTCTTGTCTGCATATGCCAATGTTCACTGCAGTCAAACTCACTGCCAGTGATTGTGTGTATATGTATGCGTGAGAACAGCGCTGTGTGTTCTTGCTCCCGGCGATGAGCTGCCCATTCTTGCATTCCCCGGACTGCAACCAGGACAGGTGCACATGCTGTGTTGCTGCTTGTTGTGCATGCGCGCGTGTGTGTGCGTGTGCGTGTGCGTGTGCGTATGTATGTGTGTATGTGTGTGTGTGTGTGTGTGTGTGAAGCGGATGAAAGCGCAGCACTGCTGCGGTTAACGCTTAAAGTCGTGTGTCGCCTGCGTCTTGTGGTGTGCAGTTGCAAGTTGTGAACTTGAACAAGCTGGAGCAGCTGCCGCTTATCGTCGCAGCGCACGAGACCGCACTCGCCTGCATCGCTGTCAACGCCGTACGCTGCACACACACACACACACACACACACATGTGTTTGAGCGAGAGACGGGTGATGTCCACCGCATTGTAGTCGATTCCATGGCGTTGATCTGCCGTGTGCACTGCTGACAACAAAGAGGTTTTGGTGTATGTTTTTGCATGGTGTGTGCGTGTGTGTGCGTGTGTGCGCGCCCGCTGCCCATCACCTCATCTTCTTGTCGCCTGCACCACATCTTCTCAAAGGCCGGAACCCTCCTGGCAACAGCATCCCGCCGCGTACGTTGAACCGTGGTGCACATGCGTGCGCATCAGTGCGTGTGCGAGTGTTCGTGTGTGAGTGTTCGTGTGTGTGTGTGTGTGTGTGTGTGTGTGTGAGTGAGTGTGTGTGTGTGTGTGAGTGAGTGTGTGAGTGTTCGTGTGTGCGTGTGAACGTGTCCAGCAGAAACGGTCGCCGCTTTGTGTATGTATGCACTCTCACGTGTCCTCGTCCGTGTCGTGTCCCATCAACGCGACCGCCACCGCCAATGTTTCTTCATCGCAGGGCACGCTCATCCGCGTGTTTGACAGCCAAACGGGGCAGAAGCTGCACGAGCTCAGGCGGGGCGCAGAGCAGGCAAACATTTCCAGGTGTGAACCTCTTTGTGCGCCTGCTTGTGTGCGTGTGCGTGCATGCATGTGTGCGTGCGTGCGTGCGTGCGTGCGTGCGTGTGTGTGCGTTGGCTCAAGGCATCATCTCATCCACCTCGACGGCTCCATCATCGCCGTTGTCATCACCAGCATCTGCTTCAGTCCCTCCGATCGCTTTCTCTGCGTTTCCAGGTGCGCACATGGATTGTGTGCGTGCATGTGTGTGTGTGTGTGTCAAAATTGTGAATACGTGCAGTCATGTGGTTGCTAGTTGTTTGGTTTGGTTTTGTTTTGGTTGTTCGTTTGTTTGGTTGTCTGGAGTCGTTCGTTCTTACCTTCGTGTGTTCGTTCCTACCTTCGTGTGTTTGCTTGCTGAAAAACGCCTGCATTCCCTCATGTTTGCCTTCGCGTCGCGGCACGCCCGCTGATTTGTGCCCCCCCCCTCCTTGCCACGATGATCAACAGCGATCACAGCACCGTTCACATCTTCGCCCTCCAAGAAAAGCCGGCGCGCTCCCTCGGCGGCCTGTAAGCACCAGTGTTCACATGTGTCCTTGCTGCTGTATTGCTGCGATCATGGCTGTTGCTGCTCTGCTCCGTGGCTGTTGCTGCTCTGCTCCGTGCACATTCCTCATGCAACCATCAGCGTCGCAATATCGCTCACCCACCTGTGCGATGTTCTCGTGCCATGCACATGGTCACCTTACCCCGTCTCTTCATTTCCACCCCACCTCATCTCCTCACTCCATCCAACGCCTCGCCATCGCTGCCAGTCGCGGGTCGCTGCTTCCGAAATACTTCAGTTCGCAGTGGAGTTTTGCCAAGTTCACAGTCTCTGCAGGCTGGAGCACATGCGCCTTTCCCACAGACGACTACACTGTCATGGGTCAGTCAACATTGATGCGTGTGTTTGCGCAGACACAAATAGACAGACAGACAGACACAGACACAGACACGGACACACACACACACACACACACACACACACACACACACAGCACACACACACTGATGCACAGTTTGCACACATTCACACTCACATCTCATCCATGCCTTCCCCAAACCCCACACCACCACCACCACGGCGTGGCATGTACAGCCGTGTGCTATGATGGCATGGTGTTTCGCGCCACCTTCAAAGAAAACGGCGCCATTGTTGTTGAGCAGTCAAACATGATGCAATACGAGTTTGAGGACACGCGTTCGCCGTCGTCGTCCTCGTCGTCTCTCCACCACCGCCAGCAGCAGCAGCAGCAGCAGCGCCACCGCCACCATCACGGTGTTCGCCGCACGACAACGCATCGCGGCGGCACGGGCCACGTCGTCACCATTGAGCGGGACGGCGACGACGACGACAGACACACGCGCGCAACTACAGCAACGGCACCTGTGCCGCCCAACGGGGAGGATGTCGGGCGGTGGTGGCTGGAGCGCGGCGGGCTGGGCACGTGGGAGGAGTGGAGCGTGCGCGGGGGCTCTGTTGTGACGGTCGCGAGTAGCACTGAGGGTGCACTTGCGTTGAGCGCAGACGACGAGATGAGCAGTCGTGGGATCAGAACAGAAGGAGAGGAGTACGAGGACGACGACGAAGGCGATGGCGGCGATGATGATGGTGATGATCATAATGATGATGATGATGCTGATGGTGATGATGATGATGGTGGTGGTGATAATGATGATGATGATGGTGATGATGATGATGATGATGATGGTGATGGTGATGATGATGATGATGATGATGATGGTGATGATGATGATGATGATGATGATGATGATGATGGTGGTGGTGGTGATGGTCGATTGCGGGGCGATTTCAATCGCCACGACGCCGGTGTTGTTGGTGATGGTGGAGGCGAGCAGTGGCATGATGATGATGGTGATGGTGATGGTGGTGATAATGGTGATTTGTATGATCATGAGAACACGGGCGTCGATCACGGTGACGGTGACGGTGATGGTGATGATGATGGCAGCAGGAGACAGTTCGCTGCAGTTGAGGTGGACTGGCAGCGGTGGACAGAGCACGATGACGAGAGCAGCTACCGCGCCGACGACGACGCCGACGACGACGACGACGACGATGATGATGATGACGTGGATGATGATGACGTGGATGATGATGACGTGGATGATGCGGATCGACAGGCAACGCTCAGGCCAAAGCGGCGGGGAGGCAGCGGGGGCGGATTTGGCAACGCCGACAGCGACGTGAACACAACAACCGCCGATGACAATGATGACGAGGATGGCAATGACGATGATCGGAAAGAACAGCTGGTTCTGTCGTCGCACCGGTGGGCAGCGTACCCGCTCGAATCCGATGAAACGCAAACGGGAGACGAAGACGACAACAAGGACAACAGTAACGGTGGTCACGAGGCGCCTGATGGTGATGAGGGTTGCAGTCGTGCTGATGAGGATGGCAGTGGTGACGATGATGACGACAGAGGTGTTGACGACGATGGTAATGGTGCCATGCCTCCTCAACAGATGACATTCCAACCGTCGCCTCCAAAACAGCAGCAGCAGCAGCAGCGCGACGATGTGGGTGAACACCACGCCGTGAGTGATGTCGATGACGATGATGGTGTGAGTGGTGGGGATGATGATCATGACTTGCCTTCCTTTGGTTGGACAGCAGAAATGCCGCCACCACCGCCGCCATCAAGCGAAATCGTGACTGCTGATGTTAGCGGAGAGGGCCGTGCACCACCACCGATGATGATGGCAAGTCATGGCGATGACGATGACGATGAGGGTGATGATGCCCGTGGCGACGATGACGATGTCGATGATGAACATGAGCAGCAAATCGCTGACGGTCACGATGATCATGATGGCGATGCGCTGGTTGCTAAAGTGGACGACCCACCAGCACTCGCAGTCGATCGGGATGACACATTTGTTGATGCGAATGATGATGATGATGATGATGATGATGATGATGATGACAAGGGTGGCAGTGCACTGGTGGACTCCTCCATGAGCGGCGGGGAGGACGAGCGTGCATGGACCAGCGGCGACGACCACGACTTCAGTGATGATGATGACGACGACCACGACTTCAGTGATGACGACGACGACGATGTCGAAGCTGCACAGGATCATACAGGACGTGCAAGCGACGATGAACACGAGGAAGAGAGCGAGTTGGATGCTGGTCGCGCTGAAGTCGTTGCTGATGATGACAACGACGGCAATGATGATGGTGATGATGGTGATGATGGCGATTATGATGGTGGCGATGATGACGAAGAAGCTCATCATTGCAATGACGACAACGACAACGACAACGACGACAGTGATGTTGATAACGGCGTGGCTGTGGACGGTTGTGGCAGTGACGAGCATGCGTTTGCTCTCGAGCAACCGATCGCGCATGGCGACGATGGCGGTGACGCGGACTCCGAAGATGAGCGGAGGGAGGACGAGCAGCGTGCGGTGGCAGACAGCTCGGGGTTTGGTGAGGACAGCCACGCTGTTGATGGGGATGATGGGGACGTTACGAGCGATGATGACAGTGGCGATGATGAAGCCATGATTGTGTATGGGAGCGATGGCCACGATGACGCGACCGCTGGTGCTGAGGGCGACATCACATCAGACGACGAATTCCATTCACCGCTCAACGCCAATCTCTCCGAGCAAGGGGAGGAAGAGGACGACGATGATGGCGATGATGACTTTGATGACCAGTGATTCGATGAATAAAAATACGTATGCCATTTGGTTGATGTCGATGTTGTGTTTATTGTTCTTCTTGTTCTGCTTGCGTCAGTTCAATCGTAAAAGAACCCCAGCGTAACGGCGCGAAAGCAGTGTGTGTGTGTTCTGTGTGTGTTTGTGTGTGCGTGCATGTGCACTGGATCACTTCTTTGGCTGTGCGTCCTCCAGCCCGAGTGCGCGCAGCATAAACGCATACACGAGCGCTTCGTCCTTGAGGCGATCGAACCTGCAGGACGAGAGGAGGGGGTGGGGAAACGAGGAAGTGTGTGTGTGTCACAAATAAGGCGCAAGGCGAACAGCACAGGGTTGTTGTGTGTACAATAAAACAAACAAGCAAACAAACACACAAACAAGCAAACACACAAACAAACAATCACACAAACAAGCAAATAAACAAACAAGCGCGCGCACACACACACACACACACACACACACACACCACAAACAAACAAACACATACACAGACAAGCCACCGCACCTTCCGCTGGAGGAGAAGTGGCCTGCAGCCATGTCGATCTTGCAGATGACCGAGGGCGCACCGGCGTCACGAAGAACTTGTGCATACTGCAAGCAGCAGGACCAGCATTGCGTTGCGTTTGCGCATGGTGTGTGTGTGTGTGTGTGTGTGTGTGTGTGTGTTGTGTATGTGTGTGTGTTGTGTGTGAGGATAGTGCTGGCTACGTGGGTGGACGCAAAGGATGGGCTAAACATCAAGGCGCGCAGGGGTGATTAAACGACACACGACTTTGTTCTTACCTTGAGGGGCTCCCAGTACTGCACGCGGGGATCATGCAGGCCCGCTATCCCACGAACACATGCACGCAAATACAGGCACACACATCGCACGCGTGTGAGGGAGCACAAGGAAAGGGGGGGGGGGAGGTTTGAAAGATGGGGTGCATGTATGAGTGTTTGCTGCATGCGCGCGTGGCTCTGCATTGTTATGAGTGTCGTGAACAAATGAGGAGAAGGAAAAGAGAAGGAAAGGAGAAGGAAAGGAAATTGAAGAATGTGTTGGAGGCCTCAACACATGAGGTGTCGGTGCTTGTGCTGATGCGATTACCGCAAGCGTGCATGATCAGCATCACATCGTCATGTGCTCGCTCGCTCGTATGCGTGTCGAGCCGCAGCCCAGCAGCAGCGGCGCTTAACGCGAGCGCGTGTACACACACGCGCAAACACGTGCGCGCTCACGCTCGGGCCGGTCTCAAGCACACATGATGCACACGAGACGACGATGCGGGCGCACGAGACAGGGTGGTGATAACCATGGGCTGACGCAAACAACATCGCCTCCACGTGTTGTTGTTTGAGAGCAGTAAAAACCAAACGCCGGCTGCTCAGGGCGCTGGCATTTAGACTCTCAGCAAGGAGGGAGGGAGAGAGAGGGAGAGAGAGGGAGAGAGGGAGAGAGAGGGAGAGAGAGGGAGAGAGAGGGAGAGAGAGAGAGAGAGAGAGAGAGAGAGAGAGAGAGAGAGAGAGAGAGAGAGAGAGAGAGAGAGAGAGAGAGAGAGAGAGAGAGAGAGAGAGAGAGAGAGAGAGAGAGAGAGAGAGAGAGAGAGAGAGAGAGAGAGAGAGAGAGAGAGAGAGAGAGAGAGAGAGAGAGAGAGTGTGTGTGTGTGTGT